GCACATTAGTTACTCTCTGCGACGAAGCTTTGCTCGAGGTGAAGAGTTTAAGTCTCAACCCACAGTGTAAGAGAAATCGATCAGATTGTCCACGAAAATCTTACCAAAAATTATACTGAATACTTTCGCAGGTATCTCAAGAGAACGTGTTTAAAAGTGTAAGAGGTTCGTATAAAACATAATGGTTGCAGGCGTAAATATGTCGCTTTAAACGTTAGACGAGATGTAAGCTTAAATCTTTCTAGATTTTTTGTATAATTTGCTGTAACTAAAACTTTGCAAATCCCGTGAGGTTATTTCGTCGCACGGCCCATGCAGGTATGTCGAGCAAATGGCGCTTACGCAGCTTTCTGTGCGTGCCAAAATCTAATCTAATCTTCGCTTAAAAAAAAAGAAAAGCTGAGCGTGAAAACTCTTGTTTATTAGATGTGGGTAGATGACCCTGTACTAAGCTGACATTTACAATAAAGCAAATCCGCCCTTTCCATCCAATATTTTCCTGGTGTTTGGTTTTGTTTTCTCCAATGAAAGCAGCATCGATTCCCAATGATCAAAGCTATTTAACTTGGTCATCAACAATCGACAAAAGAGGTGAAATGACAACGACCAAGGGACTAGAAGAGAATCCGTAGCCTTTCGAGCTAAAGAATTTGAACACAAAGTGTACGTTTACCGGCACAAGGTACAAAATCTCTTCGCTCCCTAGTGAACCTTGTGTTTACCTTGATGGACACTTAATTGAAAGAGTCAATAGTTACAATTGTCTTGGTGCTCAGGTGGATCAAACACTCTCATGGGAAGCCCATATCTCCAAGGTCGCTAGTAAAATTGCTAAAGTACTTGCTGCCCTTGGGAGGCTAAGACCGATATGTTCCCAAGGTACCCTGGTCACAATTTTTAAGTCACTGGTTCTTCCACATTTCGGCTATTGCAGCGCTGTGTGGGGATGTATCGGAAATGGCCTCGGTCAAAAACTGGAGAAGCTACAAAACAGGGCGGCACGTAGAATAACAGGGTCTGGCTGGGATGTCAGATCTACCCAGATTCTTCGTGCCCCCACATGGCCGGGAAAGCCTCACTGACAGACGTGCAAAACAATTGAAATATTTTATGTTTAAAACTGCTAATAACCTTGTACCCGAATACCTCTCTGACAAATTCACCAGCGTAAATGCCATCCACAGGCATAATTTACGGGGCGCCCAACACAACTTGTTCATTCCGCGGCCGAATACTGAGGCCCTCAAATAGAGTTTTCGTTGTAGGGTGCAGCAGCATGGAAGTCTGTCAGTTGAGGCGAAGCAGGCCACTACCTTAAACAGCTTTTATTCTTCTATTGTATAATATNTTTTTTCTCAATGTACCTATGCAAGGAAGTCTTGATATCTACTACTAGGCTTGCACTGTCGTCCAGATCGAGAAGTTACTGCGGATCCTTGATATACCTGATGCACATTCATATCATCAGACTCGTCTTTACCACTTTCTTCATGAGAATCTTCATCTTCAGAGTCACTTCCAAAAACAGCGAGTATTTTGTCATCACTATCATCATCTTTACTATCTTCTTCATCATCTTCACTGTCTTCTTCATCATCTTCACAATCTCCTTCCTCTGTTTCGTCTTGGTGGTCATTCTGAGAAACACTCTTATACTGTGAATGCATGTTGGAGCCGTTAGTTGAAAAGTTGATATGTGCCATTATCCGAGTAATTTTGTCATTCTTCAGACCATTTAATGATGGTTTATGAAAGGTTAACTATTTTTCAAGTTCTTTAACAGTTAGTTTCTTTAAAGTGTCGCGAGATAAGGATAACTCAATCCAGTCATGATCTTCGTATGATTTGTTCTTTACTTCGGCTTTATCCCGTTTTCCTTGATTTGTTCGGATATCTTTGGCCCTTTGAAGACACAAAAGATGGTTTACGTAAGATCTTATATGGTCTTCTTCGACGATATATTTCTCGGAAAAGTTTTTGATGCTATTTGGGTATTCTAGACAAACTGCGCCAGCAGAAAACTCTATCTTCAGTTGGGTTCTTGGAAGGAAGTCATCCACAGTACGAAAAGTTTTGTTTACCTCATCTTTATAAAGTGGTGTTTCAAAGACATCTTAATATTTGAACTTTGGCAGTTTAGTAGTATCTGGATATGGAGCAGAAATCCCCTTGAACTTCTCAGTGCTTGTCCAAGGATTATTTTGACAAAATTGGCACTGTTGCCCTGTCCTGGTGAAACAGCAATCCTTTACGTACTCCATGAACAGTTCTCCTCTAGTATAATGACTATCATAAAAGGCACACACTTTCTGAAAGTAGGCAGCCCCAGGAGTGTCGGCGTTTCTGTTCTGTACATACTCTTTATTTAAAAAGAACCGATCGTCTTTCTTGGGGAGATTTCCGAGCATCTATAAATTCTCCAAGTGCCGGAGCGCCGTCAATTCGATAAACAACTTCTTCTGTCACATCCAATGCATTTCGTTTCATGCGCTGCAAAAGTCCTACTGTGTCAGCATATGTTATGTTATGAAATAAAGACATTTTAGAATGCCCTGGTTATTTCTTGTAGCTTCTTTGGCAAAAAAAAAATTTGGTAGCCCCCCACTTTGTTGTAAAAAAAATTTGAAAGCCCCCCTTTTTTTTGTATATATTTTTTCCAATCCCCCCTCAATTTCACCTGCCCCCCCTCTGCCATACATTATGAACGCAGCCTAAGGGGCATTCTCTGATAAGAATACAATTCAGGTGTAAAATTGTGTACTGAGATTAAACGAGAATGACTAGCTAAGTGATTCAAACCATAAACAGTATTTATCTGAAAATAGGGCGTAAACTTGATATTGAAACAAAACAGAACTCCATCTACTTTAAAATCAAAACAGAGGCCATTATGTAATTGTGTTCCTTTTTTTGAGAGTTTGTTACACTCAACATGAAAAAAACTTGACATGTGGATGATAAACAGCAAGCGTCAAAAATTAAACCTTACAAGTAGAGTGCATGCTGATGTTTGATACTGATCTACACAAACTAGAGAAAATATTCTTAAGTTTTGTCGAAGACAGTCCATAATTTTATTCTCTCTTAAACTTCTTAACCAATATTAATGGAAAATAAAACTTCTGAGTCAAATCAAAGATGTAACATGAATACAAATTATTTTTGACATTCTTTTGGCCTGCTTCATTTAATCCATTTCATTCCAAACTAGACAGGTCTGTATATATTTAATATGTAGCTAGAAATATATTTATTTTCAGAGCTTGCTTAACTTGCAGTAAGGGCAAAAATCAAAGGGGAAATTCATCCAGGTTTTTGCAAATACTCTACCCTCTTTGGTAGACTTCAACACCTGTATGCAGTACACTCGCTTCTCCACTTTTGAACACCAGACAAGTGCGTGAAGTAAACCAGATTGAAATTCATAACAGACTAAGACATCAGAGCATCAAACATGTATATTCAAGAAAAATTCCACCATGGCTCAAAATCAGTGAAACTTTAGATCATAAAATTATCACAGCAGATGCATGATGCTGGATACAATGTCAGAAAGCATACAGTTTTTTTTTAAAGTCTCATATTTATGAATTGAGCTGTTACCAATGCTATTTGATAGGAAAGTCTTCTCGACTAGCTTAGACTTTTGGGTGGAATACAACAGGTTTTCAGTTGCCATGATTTACCAAACATTATTTTGGTTAATGTATTACTCCCCTTTAACATTGTCAAAAACACTGTATGTTAAGGAAAACAGAATGCTTTCATTTCTATCTGACAGTTATTACTTGGAAATGACCTAAATATATGCATTCCAATTGT